GACAGAATCTTGCTTATTAAATAATGCAGTCAGGTAAGGGTGGATGGATGTATCCCCTCTGTCTAGGGCTACTCGGTATTAGGGAGAGGGCTTCATCACTCAGAGTCGCTTTGTGATCCCTCAGTGCTATACGTCCGTCAGCACCAAAGGTTTCTGAGCACACCCAGTGTCAGAAACTGGCTTTGATGGACCTGCGTGGTGACTTAACCACATCTGACCTCTTTTCTTTTTAAATACCATTCTAGCTCTGGATCATGCCCACATTCGGGGCACACCCTGTGTTTGAGAACGGATTGGAGAAGTCATTTTATGGTTACTCCACCTGGTTTGCCATCGTGAACTTTGGGCTACCCCTGGGTGTGTTCTACCGAATGCATTCAGTTGGGGGACTCCTCGAGGTCTACGTGTCAGCCTGAACTGGGCCCAGACCCCCCTTGTCCAGTGGTGGAAGAGGACTGTAGCCACAACCAGAGGAGCCTGGTGGGAACAGAGCTACAGAAGGCTTCCAGCTCTTTTTTATTTTCAATTTCTACTTTGGCTCCTCTGAGCACTATTTTCTTAGGAGTTGCAGAGGCAAGGGAACCATATCTTGTGGTTTTCAAACATGCCGGTATCAGGGTTCTCCACAAGAGAACAAAATTTAAGCCACTCTCTCGCTATTCCTGGGACACAAGCTAGCACTAGCATAACAGGAATGAGATTGAGAACATATAGCAGATGCTGTAAAGTAATGGGACTTTAATCATTTCATCTGACCCCTTTGAAGGAGACAACGTAAGGGCAGCATCAAGATGAGCAGATAGAGGGACAGGCCTGTGCTCCACAGCAGCTCTGGAACCAGCTCTACCCATTGATGCTCACCGGCATGCCAGCTCTCTCATCGTGAGATGTACTAGCTTTCTCAGGAAGAGGACGTAGTAGTACCTGAAACACATGCCCCAGAATCAAGCACTAAGGAACAAAAAATGCTCACTTTCCACGTGGGTCTGTGAAAGGATAACTGTTATAGTAACATTCGGGGAGTATGGTGCAGTGGCTAGCGCTCTGCAGTCTGTACCTGGTTCTGACATTTAGCGTGTGACCTTAGACAAGTAAGTCAGGCCCTTCACATCTCAGTGCCTGTATTTTTCCATGGGAATAATACCAAATAACCCATCTATCTGGCTTAATTAAGTGTTCTTCCAGACACGAGGAGATACTCAGGTAAAAGCACTAGGGAGGTATGATAATTACTGTGCTACTTTGATCATTTGAACTTCATTGATCTCATGCATGGCTTTTGAGTGCGTTTCTTGTTTTGGAATTAGTCTACCCTTCGGTGGAAGTGAAGCACACACCATGCATGCCATTTCAATAGCCCTAAAATAAGCTAATGCTAGACCTGCTGTGAACCCCACTCTCCGTTCCCTTGCTGCTTTGCAGAGTCCATTGTAGCATTCATTAAGCTGAGAGCAAAAGCAAATAACGAGTTAAAATATACAGTGCAGGATCTGATCAGAGACCCAGGAGATGTTGATCAAAACAAGAAGGGTATGTGGGAATGACACAGAAAAGTGGCAGGACCTTGTGAGATGAGGGTTCCCAAATACTAAGACTGGTGAGGAGAAACAAAATTAAGCTGAACATTCAGGTCTGCCAGTGCAATTGTTATTTTACTCTCTGCTCACAGAGCCCTATCCAAAGCCCACAGAAGTTAATGAAAAGCCTTATTTCAGCAGGCAGTGAATCCAGCCTTTACTGAGCCCAAAGATAATATAAAAATTGAAGGGCAGGTCCTGATTTTACAATCATTCCATCTTCTCCTGCTTTCAAAATTTGTCGTGAGACTTAACCAAGGTTGATAAAGTGCAAATAGTTCCAATGTTTGTTGCTTCCATGGGATATAAATCACCTGAAAGGGCTGTTGGGTTATGATCAGAGCTTCATTCTCTCACATAGCCGCATCCTTGTGTGAAAGCAAAACTCCCTACAAGCGGAAGATAGAATGCAGATAGCTATGGCCTGCAAACCACTTCTCCAAAATCCTCACACAGATGTCTGAGAGGGGTATAGTGATGGCCATCCCCCCAGCATCCCCCCAATTTTCATCAGAAATTAAAAGCAAGCAAGACCAAGTGAGCATGGACTTTGCCTCGTGAATACTTTTACACTCACCTTTATGTCAACAAGAACTGTCAGGAGGAATTACAACTGGATAAATCAGGCCCCAGTAGTTAATTATTACTCCCATTTCACAGTTTGTACCAGAAATCCACCAGAAGGAACTCACCAAGGCCGGGCTTGTCAAGTGAAGTGAGAACTCAAACCTTTTCTGTGATTGTCAACAGATGCTGGGCAATGAGGGATGGGCATGAGGAAGAGAAAGATCCCTTGCGTTTAATCAGCTGCATCACGGCCAAGGTTATGCTTGAGCTGATAGGACCCAAGTGATCAGGGAGCTCTGATTCCCGAGATCTACATACTAACACTATCTATAGGCATGATATACACTGGTGCTTACTGAGTTATAGTCTCTTGTTGGAACATTATGAACCACCTGCTGGGTCCGATCAGTGATGAACAGGCCAGTAGTTGATCAGCTGTAGGACACAGGAACTGCCTGAGCAGAGTGGACTAATGGTCCCTCTAGCTACCTTGTTCTGTCTCTGACGATGGCCAACATCAGCTGCAAGAAACTCTATAATAGTTCATTCTGGAATGGCCTGTCAAACGAGGAAGCTACCTGCCTCCAGTTACAGAAAAGTTTATGCCCTGACGCATAAGGGTTTAAAATACCTCTTGCATGACACAGGATCCCAAGAACAAAGGCTGAATGTTTTCAATGTTTATATCAGCATTTAACCCTTTCTTTTAAGATCTTGGGCTCAGACAGATCTGCATAAGTGTCCATCGCCTGCAGGACTACAGCAAAGGAACAGGATGCACAGGTCATGCAAGTCTTCCAGTGACAGTCTGGTGGAAAGCCAGTTGGTACAAAGGAATCCTGGACAGCATAAATCACCCCAGGAGTCACACAAACAAGACCATAAATTCTCTCTGGGACAGAAAGTCAAAGCAAGTGCCATATTTCAGATTATCTTTATCTCTTTGAATGTAAGCAAATAGTTTACAGTGCAATTCGATTTTCATGGAACAAAGACTGAAAACACCAAAAAACGAAAGATTCCAGGGAAACTCAAAGGAAACGAAAGGGGGGGGGGGGATAGAAGATACCACAAAACCAGGGAAGGAGGGGTGGGG